GGACCGCACGCGGTATGCCCGAGGTCGTCAGTCCTTACCAGCCGTTCAGACGGCCTGTGGAACCGATTTTCAATTCTGTGCTGTCGGCAAAGGTTCGCGTTTGCGTGTTCCAATTTGGTTGTTTGGGATCGAGTAGCGGATATCCCGTGTGTTTTTTTTTCTAATTCCAAAGTATAAAACCTCCGTGAATGGAATTTTGATCCCGATTTCTATGTGTAGTTTAATTTGAACGTGTTCAAATCATCTACCCTAATGGCGTAGTGGGTAGTGTGACCTGCATCTTGTGCCTGAGGGTGTGGATTCGATCCCCACTACTGGAAAAATATTGTGTGATGAACATAGTGTTTTTCTAGTATCTGGGTGTTTATATATATATATTTATTTACAAAAGAAAAGTATGTTAAAAAGTTAAGTATGTTTATCAGCTATCTAGTACCCATAGTATTTTATTTATTTTTATTTTATACGAAAAGTTCTCAAATGAGCAGACGGATCACCTGATGTTAAGTGAATACCGCCGCCCATGGACATCTGCCACACCCGAGGGTTACAGATGCGTTGACAACCTTTTGAAAATTGGGCTCCGGCTACCTCACTCACCAGACGAAACGCGAAAGTATATGTCATACTTCCAATTTATGCTGGTCTTCTATGAGGTCGTGGTACTTACCCGGACGGGCCTGCACATTCGTGCAACAGCCGAGGCTGCTGTGTAGCCTCGGCTGTTGCACGAACCCCTACAACCACCACCTACCTACCATAGTACAAGCGTTGTTTAGTTTGGCCTAGAGAACGTTGTGCAAAAATGTGTCCTAAAATATTTATTTATTTATTATTTATTTATATTCATAATGCATATGACGTGAATTCTGTTTCCTGTATTGATTTCTGACTCTTATTAGGTTTTAGTTTATACTGCGAAGTAATAATGTATGTATGTAGAATGTATTGCGAAAAGGAATTGTGAGTGGCAAATTTTCATAATATATTTTGTCACACAGAACAATGGCCTGTTGCATGACGAAGTAGACCTCATTGCTGTTACATAATAAAAAAAATTATAATGAAATTATTTCTGGCAAAATTTTGGTGGGAGCAAGATACTCTAAACCCGTTAAAACTTATCCTTTAAACGAGCAATTCTTGTATATATATATAATCGGAACACACTTATTTTTTTACTATTTTTCTATACCAGATCATTGCTTTCCTTATTTTTTATTTTTTTTCATTTCCAAAATACACGATTTACCAAAACAAAAAACCGAACAAAGCTCGCCTATTATAGAAACACTCTTCTGGCTCATAAGGAAATATTATGAACCTTGTTAATACAACAAGGTTCATCATATATTTGAGAGTTAACATATAGTTGAGAAATAAATATCCATATTATATAAAGCCATCCTTCTTGATTGTCATTCTCGTTTCTGTATATAACATTAGTTTATATCAATTTATATAATTTATATAAATAAATAGCTTTTTTTTGCAAATTTTTACTTTGTTGAAAAAAATTACTTTGTTCCTTATACAGCAATTATATACTTGTAATATATAGGTACTCATATATTTGACTTCTTTGCAATAGCCATTCGCTTGTACAATACAACGACGCACTAATTACGTAATTGAAGACAATTAGGTTATTTATTAAAGATGCAAAAATGAATTACATTGTAGATTCTATGTAAGGTTTACTGTTATTAATGCTAGGCGTGATTTTTTTTTTGGGGATCCTATGTTGTGGCAGGCGAACCAATTTCGTCATTATTATAAACATATAACATTTAAAAAAAGCTATTACAGTTAATGTCTCGGTTAGTTGTAAACCAAACAAGTAATTAACGTACAAGTGAATAAAGCTTGTTTTTTATCTTCCTCACTAATGAGGTAAAACTATTTACAAGTTATGCATTAAGAGCAGACTAATGAGATGAAATTCCCTTTCCATATTTCAAATGATTAGGCGTAAAATCATTGCGTCATATTTGTGATTTTTCTGGAATTTTTGGCACGTAGTTAAACAAAGTTAAGATCATATTGTTGTATTGTATTGTTGATAGTATTATTGGAAGCTTGACTGAAAGTTGGTAATATAGCAATCCCAGCTTAAGTTCAGAGCCTTGGATTTCACTGTCATAATATGAAAATGAAACTATGAACATCATGATATCGTAGAGATAACAACGGCGAAGACAATATTGTCTTTTTACTGACAGGCGGGACAGAGAAAGGCAATTGTTCAATAAGACAGACTGCATTGTTCTCGTTCACTCAGTCGCTCAGTTTGACACAAATCACGACATCCACTCGACGTATGGGAACTGAGCGCGACTCGATCGCTCAACGGCATAAGTGGGCCCCAACGGTAGTGGGTTCACGGTTCAAATGTTGCCTTAACGAGAGCACTGCGAAGCCACTTCCCAGCTTGTGGCACAATGACATCCCGACCATAAACACAAACAATGGTTGGTAACGCGGGGAAAAACTATTCGCCGGTTGACATGCTACGTCTACCTTAATACGTGTCGTTTCGAGCGGAGAAATGCATAGAACCTAGAACATTCAAGATAATCCAGGGCTTATTGGAAATTACGTGATTTGTCACGTACAAAAATATTTGTCTCAGATATGTACCCATTGTACCGCGAGATCCTGACAAGTTTATTGCTAATTAAGCTTGAAATGGATAACATAAGAAACTAAATTTGTCTAGCCATAAACATGACGTGGTCTACTGATGCTTAAGCTCCAATAGACCACTCCTACGAACCGGTAACGTCACGAGATCGTGAGTGCAGCGTATTCAAAGACAAAGAGAGACTCGGAAAAATATTTGTCCAGCTGCATCGATAGACAGTGACGTCAGACTATTGTAATTTTCCAGTGTTCCAACTGTTTGCGCTGTCTGGACAGAATTTGCGCAAATTGAGCATTCATTGCCAAACAACCGCAAATTGCTACATTATTTACGGAGACCGATTAAAAAAAATTGACGCTTTTGCCAGAAGCTTTGTTAATTGATCCGATACCTACGGACATGTTTTGTTACAATGATTCCAATTAAGCCTATTGACTGCTAAACCTAAACTGAGATCAGGTGGAGTCTAAATTGTCTCGTTGTCTCGTCCGGGAAAGTACTACGGCCGCGCAAAAAGAGACCAGCGTGAAGTGGATATATTACCTATGCTTTCGCGTTTCGTTTGGTGAGTTAAGGTACTGAGGCTCACTTCTATAACAGTTGTCAATGTATTGCATGCCCTCAGATGTTGTAGATGTCTATGGGCGGCGATAATCACTTAACATTAGGTGAACCGCCAGCTCTTAAATTGAACGATCTATATACTCGTATACAGCGTGTCGTTACAACCGCGACAATAAATGAACACATGTCTAACGCTACTTGCCAATAATCATAAAAAAATATAAACGTTAAAAAATCCATAATTAAAAAAAAATATATTTTTCAAACAAACAAAATAAATAAAAAAGAAACAAAATTTTTAAACTCCTATACAGATTCTCTTTTTCATTCATTGCCACAGCGTCGCATTACAAATCTCTCTTTCTAACAGTATGTTTTATCTCTTTTAAATTCATTTAACCCATTCATATTCTTTGTGACCTTTACAAATGAACTTAACGTTATAGTTTTATACGTAGAGTATGTTCTAAAATTGTTTGTTTTGGAAAATTTAATAACTCGGTAAATATTGATGTTTAAAGAATGTAAATGTTTAATACAATTTTAAAAAGTTATCCTCTATATGTGTGTTCATTTATTGTCGCGGTGGTAACGGCACGCTGTATATATACCCATTGAAAGACCATTTAAAGTTTCGATCAAAATTCTGCGTGTGTCATCAACGACAAGTTCTCCAAGCTTCAACCGTTAACCATTTTGTTGTTTTACGCGTATCAACGCTCAAGTTAAATTGCTGTTATCAGAAAGTAAATTACATGCGTATCGAAATAACAAACGGGAAAGGAAAAACGGGTGACCTCTCGAATTTCCTGGCGGATCTGGAGGGAGGTGTCACCAAACCGGTCACTTATCGGCTTCATTCTAGAAACTTTGTATAAAGTAAAAGTAACAGCCTATAAATGTCCCACTGCTGGGCAAAGGCCTCCTTTGTACAGAGGGAAGGGCGTAGTCCACCACGTGGCCTCACTGGCGGACTTCTCATATCTTCGAAACATTCATGTTAATTTTCGCAAACATGCAGGTTTCCTCACAACGTTTTCCTTCAGCGCTTAGTACGTGATAATTCAGCTACATTGTTGCTGACACCGGGATTTGAACTCAGGTTGCAAGAGTATATTGATTTAAAAGCGTGGACCCGGACACTGAGCTATCACGACTATTACTTATTGGTATTTATTACAAATGTTTCAATTAATGCACTCTATCCTTCATCTCGAATAGGCGGACAAAACTATATTCGTCACTGCGACTTGCATTAGCTGTAACTTTTAATTTAATGGTGATAATAAACAAAAGTATAATAAATCTTTTGGAGTTTATTTTTAAGCGTAAAAATAAATTCGTACGTAGCGGCGTTATCTAGTCCTAAACTTCCCAGTTTTCTGTTGTGACATAACTGCAGTAAAAAGCCGAAGTAGTTACGGCTCGTGAATTAACTAACGAACATACAAAAAAATCTGTCACACAGCATTATATCTTATCATTTCGTTGAAGGAGATAACTAGAGCACCTTCAACGCACCTGAAACCACACCGATGTAGTGGAAGTCCATGGGCCGTGGTCACTTACATTATATCTATTCCTTTTGATAACCTTTTATGGTAAAATGTTGCATTCAGATTGAAGCAATATTGATTGAGTATCAAAATACAGATAAATAAAGCCTAGTGGCGACATCTTATGTATCCTTATGAGCCGTGTATGTAAACTGTGGGTTGTCTATAAAAAAAGTACATTGTCTATTGCGAACCGTTTAACGTTGTTTCAATAATTGGTTATGTTCTGCCCCCAGGAGTTGGAGCAGGAGAAACACCTGTTGCGCCGTCGGCTCGACACCACCCAGGGGGAGTATGAGGCCCGTCTCCTCGAGCTTCAGAACGACATCCGCGAGCTCACGGCGAAGATCGACTCCAAGGATAACTGCGTCAAACAGGTAAGCCTTACAGTCATTTATAGTATAAACGGTAATGGGAATGAAAGTCCTAAATCGTCTTTAACACTAATCTTCTCAGGGATGATAGGACAAGGTTTTCCTGAGAAACTGCAGCTGGTTTGTGCAATGGTGCTATCACAACCAAGATAATTTGAAAATAAACTAATGTCTATAAAGCTAATGAAAAAACAACCTTTAACTAGAGAATGTTCCGCTATTGTTTATTTCGGTAATCGACTTTCATCATACTTGACCGGATAACAGGTATCTACTCAATTAAGTTTTTTTCCCGAATATTAAACTGTTTGTCTATGAAGCCCGCCGAATATTCGGTACTCGGCAGGTCACCGAATATATTATTCGTTAAGTCTACTAGTAACCTTAGCATATGATGAGTTTAATGATGAGAAGTTGTAACAATACGTCGTCACACAAAACGTTGATCTGAATTTAATACAATTCTTTAAAAATAATTAAATCCGGTATGTATGTACCTATTACTAGAAAAAAATCCGGTAAATAGGCGTATCGTTTTAATCTTAATTAGGACGGCGATTTCAAAGCCCGCGAGACTGATTGTGCGAGTTAACTCGTTTTAGAACAATGCACCGTTCAAACGTTGACCTCTAAACTACAAAAAATAGTTACCCATTGTTGTTAACTAAATTCACGGTTTTTTTTTTTACTTTTACGTGGCAGAGTTGTCGCCCTACGTACGAGTGGTTTGAGTCAAGGCTGCTGGGTTCGCTTGAGAGCGTGACTACCAAAAAAACCACAACGCGTAACGTTATAATTTATCCGTATTGGATTTTCGATGTATATACACGAGTAAAATAATTATTATAATTTATCTGTAATGGGATATCGATGCTAGGATATCCTCCATGCGGCAAATAAATAAATAAATAAATATTTTAGGGCACATTCTTTTTACACAACGTTCTCTAGTCCCAAACTAAGCAACGCTTGTACTATGGGTACTAGAAAACTGATAGACATATTTAAACATACTTTTTTTTGTAAGTAAATACACATTATACATATATAAACACCCAGACACTAGAAAAACGCTATGCTCATCACACAATATTTTTCCAGTAGTGGGGAACGAACCCACACCCTCTGGCGCAGAAGGCAGGTACACTACCGACTGCGCCATTCGTGTCGTCAATGTCTATAACTTGATCCATCATCCAATTACTTGCTGCTCAGCCCGTTCACGTGACTTCGGCGCGTTGGACCAACTCGCGCGATAAGTCGCTTTCAGACGGGCCCCACCTTGCCGAAACCGTACGTCTGCGAGGCGTGTGCAAGGTGCCATTGACGAAAAGTTCTTCGTTAACTCTAATCCTATTAGCGTTAGCGAAGTATATCCGTTTAGCGGCTTAGCACAATCACTTGTGAGAGATTAAGGTGTTTTGTTAGGACGTTTTAGGTTATTCGTCGTACCTTCGTTCGTATAATAGTGTACGTATTCCAACTAACGATGATGATGATTTTTTTATTCGATACCAATAACATTTATGTTACGATTTACGCTTTACAGAATAGGCATTACGTTAATAATGTCGTGGGGCCACACAACAGCTTCGGCTGCACCAACTCGCCTGCCATCTTCTCATATAAAAAAGGCATAGTTTAGACTTAAACAAAATGTTATAGACTTAGTCGATTCCCATTTTATTCGTATCTGTGTTTATTAAACACTTTAAGGAACTTCTATTTTTTTTTTTTCAGATATTGCCATAAAAAACTAAAATAACGGCTGAGCAATTTGTCAAGATCTAATCAATTTGATGGCGGATCTTAGAAAATTTAATTGCTTTCCCATCATTGTTTTGTATTTCAAATTAAAGCCCGTTTGTCTTAATACTCAAATTGCCACTCATTTTGACTTTTTCCATTGGCATGTAATTGTAATTGTAAAATACATTCAAAGTTAATTTCAAATCCACGTTCTAATAAAAGATAATATCTATTGTAACACAATCTTGATAACACAATCTGATTTAAAATTACTAAGAATGAAAAAAAGTTGTACACTGGAAAATTAAAAGAAGTATATATACTATAAGTATGACATATTACTTTGTAATTCCGCGACCCTACCCATAGCGGAGGGTCCAAACCCGTGGGTTCTGGCTAGCCCACCGGTTCTGCGTCCGATTAAGCTTTAATAGTCTCGGGACTGAAAGCAAACAAAAAAAAAAAAAATAAAAAAAAAAAAAAAAAAAATTTGTAATTCGCGCTTAGTATTACAATAAACCCACCTAGACAACACTACACCCGTGACCAATTCAACACCCTCAGAGGTAGATAGCATTATGTGACAAAACACAAACTTTACAGGAGACGCAAAAATGCGCGAGTGAATCCTTGAATGCATTATTGTTTATGATGTCGTATACGATTGGATATTTTATTTATTAGGCGTCGTAGGACTTAATGTTTTTTACTATTGTGCAGAATTTGTTCTTGCGATTTTGGTATAAGAGAAATAATTTTCAAAAATTTTGTAGTTACTATTGTATGCCTCTGAGTACAGAATTAGATCGGCGGAACCATCACAGCGCGGAAACGAGCGGAAGCGAAACGACGCGTACACGAGGTACAGCCGCTTTCCAGGGCGGTTATCACCGCCCCCAGCCACCCAGGATTAAGCAAGTACAGTCAATGGCCATCGGGGCCACGGCCGTACCGAACGATGGCCAATAGATGACATACCTCCCGTTTAAAGTAACGAACGCATGAACACATGCGCGGTTGGCTAAACGTGGGGAGCCGTATCAAGATATGATGACTCCGTGGCGCAGTTGTCAAGGTATTGGCTTCTGCCGGGGGTCGTGGGTTCGATCCCCATACGGGACAAGTGTTTTTGTGACCCACAGATAGTTGTTTCGCATCTGGGTGTTTGTCCTCGTGAAATTTATGTTTTATGTTTGTAAGACGTCCTCACAACACAGGGTGATGTTATCCTAAAGTAATTGCACACTAGTTCTGCGTTCAATGACACTGGTAGTCTACGGACTGAAACCAATAACGTCAGTTGAAATAAAAGCAAATACCAACTTATAGATTTTCTTAGTTACTAGTTAAAACGTCCGCACCAATTAGCCGTCGGCTTCTCTGAATTTATGGGCGTCCCTAGCGTGGGTGCCTCGGACAAGGTCGTGATGGTCGGAGTGCCGCGCCCCATCTGGGATTGGCTTTTCACTAATACTTTGACGTCATCACTAGAGGTGGCACGTTGGGTGACGCCACTTGTAATTTAATAACCTCGCGCCTAGAACACTGCTTGAAATACATAATATTATTTGGTGACTGACTAATTTTATGAGGGCTCCTTGCTATTTGACGGCCACAAATGTAATTTTTTAATTTTCGTGATTTTTCAGTAAAAGCAACCTGACACTTTACCCGGTTAGCATTACATAAACTTAACCAAGCAAGAATGGACATAATCTATTTGGGTTAAAAGGCGCGAGAGTTTATTGTATTTGATTTATATCCTAAAAACTTTTTCAAAAGAGCGGGAAATGTGTGCGCAAAATGCATTCGTTCGCCGAATGCGAAACTAGTTCATAGAACTAGTTCAATAGGTTCTTCATCGCACACCTCTAAAACGTATTTTATTCTCTTTCCATTCCCAAACAGACGTATAACTTTACAATAAGGTTGTTCGGTCCACGTATGTTGAACTTCGTGAAACGGCCCACAATAAATGTACATAGCATTGACCGATCTTTAGTTTGCCGATGTGTTCTTGTCAATTTACGAATGGAATAGAAATTGATGTTATAGGGAATCTATCGTGTTTGACATCTTTTCGTAGATTTTTTGATTCACTTAGTGTGAAGTGCCATGCACAACCAAGTTGTTAATCAGTCGTCGCCACCGGTATTTCCGAACCGACACGACTTAAGAACCTTCAAGAAGAGTCTTCCTTATTACCTCAAGAGTCTGCAACACATTTGTGACTCCTCGGGTGTTGCGGTGAACGCTTACTATCTGGTGGCACGCCTGACGGTTTTACTTCTTTTCTATAAAAAAAGTAGCATTATGTCAAGTGTTGAACACGGTTAAGATGTGTGCATTGAACTGAAAGCGAGAATAGGTATATTGCGAGTAACGTATAAAATTTGATCCTTAAAGAATCAAACAACCACTAACTCAATTTTCCTATGTTTTCGATAGAGAGCGTATAACTTGAAGAGCAGACGATAAATTTAACAAAAGGTGATTGATAATGAGGTGGTTTTGAATTGACTTATTGAACAATGAACATTACTTAAAGAGTTTATTGCGTGGATCGTAAAAACTACTGGCGGCGGTCGCAATACAGAAATTCATTATCTGCTGACGCCAACCCAATCAATTGACCACGGCGCATTTGAGAAGCTCGTGATTGCACATAGCGTGCCCTATTTCTACACTTACTAAAGCAATAGAATCCTACAACGGATGAATTTACATTTTTCATCGCACCATTGGTTTCCGCCTCATCTTTTGAATGGAAAAAGGCCTTAATTTCATTTTTGAACGGAATGTCATTCAAATTATAGATAATGCTTTTTTACTAAAATCAAGACATATAGGTTTTGCGAATCACCACTTGTTCGCCTTCGATGTGGGTGTATTAATAAAATGACAATTTAGGTATACATAGTTATATTTACGTATGCTTTTATTTGTAATCAGATATCTAATAAACAAAGGAAGTGAACAAAAACGTAACGTCTCGATCACCCTGAGGTGTTCTTATGATCTCTAGTGTTGCCAGAGACAAGTAAAATTTACTTTTGGGATACTTACATAGGCTTTTAAGCAGAAAAAGGCTCCAATCCTAGTGACTTGCGCCAAACTACGTAAGTACGTCGTAAAGAAGATTAGTCATTAACCCAACAGGAAGCCAAGATGAACCTTGCAAAGTTCCTGTCGCAAAGCGGTGCAGAATGGTACAGCATATACCATTCTTTATAAACATCCTCTGTCATTAGCCTTAACGCTCTTGTAGATTCCTACCACGGCCCAAGAGAAGAGCATTCAACACCGTTTTATATCGAAACAATTTAATAGTTATGACGAAGTATAAAATAGATATAAAAGAGATCTATAGGAGATTGTTTTTGTCCTTTTCAAATCTGAGTGAAATAAAAGGTCTATTTATTATTTTTTATGAAAAATACTCATGTGATACGAACCGTATGTGAAGGTTTTTCGAATTAATCGAAATATCCGAAAATGGGATTTGAAATGCAAAACAAGATATAATCATTTAAAACTGTTTTATTCCATCCCCTAATAAATGTAACTCTCAAAACAAATGTAGTTATTTTCAAATTTGAACAAAGCTAAATAATTCTGTTATACAATAACAGAATTATTTAGCCAGTCCTTCTTCTCCGAACGGGCAGGCTCGTTCGGAGAAGAAGGACTGTTTCGCAGAAGACCGGCGTGACGTGGACGCGTTATTCTATTGCGTTTCCTTTCGCGAGTGGTGTGTTGCGGTCCCAATTCTTTGATAATTGGTTACGCATCAGCCCTCCCAAAGGAGTTGCAGACGTTAATCGGTAATTTGTAACATGAGGGGAAAAGCCTGGTCGTTACTAACATCTCACATAAAACAGATACAATAAAACCTCCCCACGCTCGCAACTTCAGCCTAATCCGCCACTGTGTCGCAATCCACGACCGTCACGGCGCCTAGCGACCTTCCGAGAGCTCGAAGGGAAAAAGAGTTTCGTAAACATTTACCCAATTAACTATTCCGACCCTATGTCCATTGCGTTAAGGGCTGAATTGGCACGCCGCGACTCGGGACACTGTTTTTACAGCCATTAAAGCGATTAACCACGCTCGCTGTCCGCACCAATGTCTTCGGATTCGGTCAAGTATTTGAGTTGGGATTGTTTTTTTTTAACCCCATAATGAACTGCTCCGGTTTTTAGCTTTCCGCTCACGGCGTACAACTGTAGAGATTTGTTTTGGATTCCGTACGGGTTGAAGCGCTTGATCGGGATAAATATTTACTTTTAAAGTTTGTACATGTGACATCTGATAAATGAAACTAATTTTTACGGATTTATCGCGTTTATTTTTAATTTTAATTCCCGACGTTTCGAACCCTTTACAGCGTTCATGGTCACGGGACAGACTGAGGTGTTAGACGTCTGATTGTCATAGTTAACCCGGGCTACCGTCAGTTATGTGACATCTGTCTTCTCGCTTGCTTAGCGAGTGACAACAAATCAAATCAAATCAAAAATATATTTATGCTTGCGCGTTCTTGTGAAATGTCAAAAATTTTAATACCGGTTCGGAAAGCAGTTTCTGTTGAGAAGAAACCGGCAAGAAACTCAACAGTTGATCTTTTTTAAAACGATTAGTTTACAATATGATAGAACAAGTATGTCATTTAGCCTACGTGAGTATCAACAGTATTGACCCCATACCATGACGTCGTCAAGACATTCCGCAATGGTATAATATGCCTTAGCCATAAGTTCACTTTTAATTTTGAGACAGACTTAATAACATTGTGAGAACACCGCCGTTTTTCTGTGTTTTTCTGAAACAATAAAAGAAATATTTCGAGGATACATGAAGTCCGCCAATCGGCAGTGGGTTCGCGTGGTTGACTATGCCCTAATACCCTCCGTACAGACAGACAGCTTTGCCTGCTGTTACTGAATCTACAGCAATGTGTATTTATAACGGATGGCTTCTTTTTTAAGTTTTAATTTGCCGCTCTTCTTCCCCGGTTACATTATTCAGTAAAGATTTAAATATCTTTTCACTCATACGATAGTTCAAATATCAGCATCAAATATCATGACACCAACAACTTGAACAAGCTTGGAGCGATAAGGCGGTCTATTGCACAGATTTGTGTTATTCGTTTTTGATTATACAATATCAGTTGTAGTGAACAATAAAGTATATGCCATTCATTCCATTAGTTTCATTCATTCATTCATTCATTCAAAAGTGGGAAAGGCACGGAACCCGTGTGAAAATTTTCAACGCACGCTTCGTGTTATCCCTCCCGGTTAATTGAAACGCGGGAGACCTCCGCGTCCGTTGCTACAGATTTTTTACCGGGACAAAAACTTAGTTCTTGCGGCAGAGTTCAGAGAAACCATCCGTGAATATCTTCGTACATTTGAAACGCCTCGATTTGATTGATTTTGTGGCGTTTCGGTTAAGCATTATTTTTACCGCCTGTGTATTTACTTTTTGTAAGAGTTGACGACTTTAAACTCGAAAAGAATGAACTCTTTCACTGTAAGAAGGGGCTAAGTCTGGCCTTTATAGCGCACGCTAAGTGTCTCTCGTCGTTTACCAAATAAATACATGTTAGGACATTACTATATTAACTGCACACGTGGTTCACGGTGAAGGAAAACATTGTTAGTAAACCTATTTTCGAAAAAATATTTCAAAGATATGTGGTTTCCGCTAATCCACGGTGCGGTCGCGTGGTAGACTATGTCCTTATACAGAAGAGGCATTTGGTCAGTGGGTATGTCCCAGGCTATTACTTTTCACATTACTATAGATAAAGCCACATTTTTAAAAGGTTGTCAACACATCTGAAACCCTAGGGTGTAGCAGATGTCCATGGGCGGCGGTATTCACTTAACATCAGGTGAACCGTCTGCTCGTTTGGCAACTTCTCACATAAAAAAAAAATAATAATAAAAGATCCTGATGAAAGACTAATATTTCAAATGCGCAGATTTTTTTCTTCTTAATCGTTTAATCGAGATCATCAAACACTCAGCACAGCTCAACACTCAGAGATACATCGTGTAAAAATTCGTACATAGACGCTACGAAAAACTCTGAAACTAAAATAACAATATTATCCACAGAAATGATGTTTAAGAAACTTGAGTAGCGGTAAACAGTATCAAAAAAAATATACGTAATAAATATTTTGCCATTCAAGTTAAAATAAATAGGTGCCATTTACAAGAATATATCAAAGAGGTCGCGACTTCAGAAAAAAAAATCCAGATTGTTCTAATAAATCAGTCATTCTAATAAACGAAACTCTTACGGAATTATTTCTATCGAGATAAGGTTTATTTAGCGCATCGCCTTGATTTATAAACTCGTTTGTTTAATTAACAGCAATAAATCTCGAGTTACCCAAATCAGCAGCAAATTCTTGAATTAGCTTCGGTATATTTGCCCGGTTACTGAAACACTGATCATAGTAGTTAACTAATCAGAAGAAATAAATATAATCAGAAACCGGGGCGTTGGTGTATCAAGCAGAGATTTGAGATGGTATAACCAAAGTTTGTTATCTCTCATAATATAAAGTTTCTCCCCTATTAACATAGTATTATTCATTAATTCTGTATTATGGATCGCGCTAAGTGATTTTTTTAACGACTTTAAAGATAGATCACGAGGACTGTTGATAGTTTTATTTAACGATTACGCCGTAACAATTCATACTAATTCATACTAATTTTACGGTGGTAGGGCCACGCAGCAGCCTCGGCTGTTGCACGAATGGGCAGGCCCGTCCGGGTAAGTGCCACGACCTCACAGAAGACCAGCGTAAAGTGGAAGTATGACAAATACTTTCGCGTTTCGTCTGTAACCCTCGGGTGTGGCAGATGTCCATGGGCGGCGGTATTCACTTAACATCAGGTGAACCGTCTGCTCGTTTGACAACTTTTCGCATAAAAAAAATACTAATATTATTAATATTATAAATGCGAAAGTAACTCTGTCTGCCTGTCTCGCTATCACGCCAAAACTACTCAACCGATTTAAATTAATTTTGGTACACAGATAGTTTAGAGCCTGAGAAAGGACATAGACTATTTTTTAATTGGAAAAACCTTGAAAGCTAGTTACATATATCGACAGAATGTCATAAGTGGGTCCGCTGCTCACTGCCACGATGAGTAGTAAGGAAATGTATGATAAAAATTCACGATAAAAGTTTATTGAAATATGTTAGTTAGCTGGTTACAATAATTATTGCTTGCTTGAATAACTAGCAGATTTATAAACAGTTCATTGATATACACATTTTACGTTCTTTTTATCATTCCTCATTATTAATCCTTCTGGGTCTTTTAAATATAACATTTCTTCTTCTGTCTCGTTATTCTTCTCGATTCCATTCATACCTTCCTCTCATCTTTATAAGAAGAGCGGTACCTAGTACTCACAATTCTCAATCACAGACCAACATCCTGTTCACGATAACAATGATTTTTGTCTGACTTGTTGTATTTGACTGCACAGCGCGAGGAAGAAAAGGCCAGTCTGATAGCGGAGCTCACCGCGCAGAACTCCCGTTTGACCACCCAGCTGAAGGAGTGCTCGGCCACTGAGGCCCAGCTGCTGGCTCAGCTCGAGGCCCTCAAGGACCAGTGCTCCATGAGGAAGACCAGCCTGCAGGTGAGGGACGTTGGTCGGAACCCGGCTTACGATGTAATCTCTAGGAAACTAAAAACGAACCCGGCTTATGTTGTTATCTCTAGGAAACTAAAAAGGAACTCGGTTTACGTTGTTACCTCTAGGAAACCGACAAGCTATCAGGTTAGCGTTGTTAACTCTAAAACCAACAAGGAACCCGACTTTCGTTGTTAACTCTAGGTAACCAACAAACCCAATTTTCAATATCATCAAATATACTCGTCGGCTTAAGTTGTCAACTCTAAATGTGGAGTCAGTGATGTTCTGATTACTTAAGTGGTAATTCATCACATGTTCATTTGTATAAGTATCTGGAATACGTGTGAAGTCTATTGGATTGTTGCGTAATTATTCTTAAAGTAATTGGTGGTTTCAACCAACCGATAACCTAGCTTTATATACAACTATATAAACTTTATAAACAACGATACTACAACAAACGCAGTTCAAAACTTACCTCGCTTTTTAATAATTGACTAATAGTCGATTATTAATTTTTTATGCGATTCACCGATTTATCTGATTAGTTTGCATTTAGAATTAGTATCAAAATTTCTTATCTGGAAACAATCGCTTGTTCAGGATCATGTGCAAAGCCTCAAGTCTCTGAAAGCGGAGCTTGCGCTCGTCAGCGACAAAAAAGCAGACTTGGAACGGCGACTGACGTCATCACTGCGAGACAAGGACAGCCTGATGCAACAGCTGGACGAAGCCAACGACAGGATCGCTGCGCTGGAGAGGCAGCTGAAGGAACAGGTAATTCTATTACCAGATAGCATAGCCCTAAAAGCGACAAATACAGATGCGACATAAAAGCATTCATACGAAAAGACGTATAAACATAAATAAAATAACACGTAGTTACATTTTAATAATATAGGGATTTAAAAAGAAAATCCATCAGAGTACATGACAAAAGTTACCGCAAACTGCAAGATTGCGAGTCTCTTGAAGTAATTTTTTTTCTTTTGCTATCCCATTTACCTACTGACGTATTGATACGCTAGAATTCTGGCGTGTACTCTCTAAAAGGCTACTCTATGGAATATTAATAATAATCTACATTATATTCCTCAAGTATATATTCATGCCATCAAGGCTTGATTGTATTACTCGAGGAATAGTATTAATAATCCAACGTGAGTAGACGACTTTTGGAAGAATTTCGCCGACCCAATCCCTTCACACAGGGAAAGATTTCATCTGATGTCAGCTTTTGGCTTTGTTCTGCATCCCTTTCACCGACGCATTAGGCAATACGCACTGTGAGAACAATACACTATAATCAACGCCACACGTAATCTCCCGCCTTAATTCTGTTTGGATGCAGAATCTTCTTATCTCGATCTTATTGCGTTTTTATTCAGATGCGCATCGCGTACCGGTGTTGTTTGGATAACAGGAACGCCAAACAGCATACATAATATGTTTTAATGCGTAACATATTTAATCTAATCTTTTATTTTAATTAAAATTACTTTTACCTATTCTTTTATTTCTTTTATTATCATATTATTTCAGTGATATTAAAATTTAATTCTCTAAAATGTTACGGTGCACAGTGACAAGGTTGGAACCACCAAGTTTGTATCAGTACTGCTCTGTATAATATACGCGGGCAACACCGAAAGTTCTTAGAAATTCAAAAGCCGACTCAGTTTAGAATGTCGCCAATACTTTTAATGTTGTCCGAAGTAGTAACTCTAAACATCTTCGCATTCGTTGAAAGCAATGGGGTCCATTCTTCCTTAGGGGTATCTTTTACGGCACTTTCGAAATCATCCACTACAACTAGAGGGCACGTAACACATCTAAGTTGATCTTAGATTGTCGGTGTAACAAGACTTTTGGAATTGCCGCCAATTCACAAAAACAACATCTTTATTCAATAATGTAAAAGAGGTTTCATATGACGACCCGAATGGCGCAGTCGGTAGTGTACCTGCCTTCTGCGCCAGAGGGTGTGGGTTCGATCCCCACTACTGGAAAAATATTGTGTGATGAGCATAGTGTTTTTCTAGTGTCTGGGTGTTTATATATGTATAATATGTATTTATTTACAAAAGAAAAGTATGTTTAAGTATGTCTATCAGTTTTCTAGTACCCATAGTACCAGCGTTGCTTAGTTTCGTTGTCTAAAATATTTATTTATTTATTTATTGGTAATGTTTCTAACCGGCCAGTTGTAAGAACTTTCAATGTGATCTAAGTATATGTTTATAACGTAGCTCTGTTATAAACATATAGTCTCTGCTATCGGAAGCCTTTTGGCTCACATATCCCATTGCGGTAACATAATACTCGCGTCGCGGAACCATATTAAATGTGAAGACGGGAAAGAACACAATTTGCCATTGTTCGAAATCATTGAATCAATTGCCATTGTCACAATGAAACTGGAGAGTAATATTTTTACGTGTGTCATGGACACACGCTTTTTTTAATATGATATTGATTTTTGTATGTACCTACTGTTATTATCTAAATTTTTAATGGCCGGCGCAGGACTTATTTTTTTATGTGACAAAGTGGCACACGAGTTGACGGTTCACCTGATGTTAACTGGTACCCCGGTTATATGTACAGATAGATTTGTTTACTGCAGATAGAGTTTTAACTTAAGTATTATGGAGCTAATGTCAAATGTCTATCGTTAGTAACCAAATCTATATGTAGATAGAATATTAAAACCAGCCGATAAGCTCTTATTGAACGTCAAAAAATCTGCTTCACTAATTTAGACCTGTCCAGAGAAAAATCTGCAAGAAGCGGTGTTATTCTCCTTTTTAAAAAATATGTACATATATATATACAAACTTGTTATATATAAAATCAGCAGCAGCTGGGGGAGTTGCAAGTGCAGAGCATGAGTCATTTCCACACACAACCAAAATATTTATGTTACATTAATTAACACCAAAAATTATAATAATATACTCCTTTGCCCTATTGTGAATTTGTTTCTTTTTTATGTGAGAAGGTGGCAAGCCAGCGGTTCACTTGATGTTAAGTGATAACCGCCGCCTATGGACATTTGCAACACCCTTAGGTTTGCAGATGCGTTGGCGCCTTTTAACCATTTGGGCTCTTTATGCTCTTTTAAACGCAATCTAAAATTTTATCTCGTTATCATATTGAAGCAAAATTCTTTGTTTCTTTTTTTTTAAAATTTTAGCCATCTTGATATGCCGTGTAAGTTTTCACATAAAATCAATAAAATCTGATATTTGAATACTAGAATTCTGTTTTGACCTCTAGATTTCGTAACGGCTAGCTGAAGTTAATGCGATGCATTTCCTTTTCCCGTATTTCAATTTTATGCATAGTTTAACATATATTTTGCAACATTTTAATAAACAAAACAGTCTAATGAATGTAAACCAGATCTATCAGACTGTAACTCTTAATAGAGAATTTCACAATATTTTTGTTTATCAGAGAGACTTCTATTAAGCAATTAACTTTGATTAAATGCGTCTCATCTCAGTCTTAAAAGATTTAAAATAAGGAATTTAAAACTAATTGATCCTTAACTAATTGACGATTATGTTGCAAACAGTTTCGCTTCCAAGAAAGATTAGCGACCATAAATCATGTGTTGTCTTGAGTTATGTTTATAAAACGACCATCGCCCCCTTCGAACCGATTCCAGGGCCACTAAAATGCATATCTCTAGCATTACCACAGTAATAATGGTCAGCGTCTGCTGTTACACTTATGGGCAGGCTCGTACAACAAAGTGCCACGGCCTCACAAAAGGCCGATGTAACGATGAAGTATATGGACTTTTACTCCAGGTCGTCGCTGAAAATGAGCTTTGTAGTTTTTACTGCAACATTTCGCTGAGTGATGTCCTTTTTGGCATGACTTACATCGTACAGTGCTCAAAAAGTAAAATTATTGCAGTTTGTGTTGTGTCAAATAAATCTCTTTCTTTACTCACGTTCCGTCTGGTAAATGAAGTAAGCGGGATCTCATAAAAATTGGCAATGCGAAACGACGGCGTAAATTCGACAAATTATTCGTGCCTTGTCCTTAGATGGGGGAACTTATTTAATGCCAGATGAGCTTCTTCTTTGCAATCTTCAGGTTCCTGATAAAAATACTTAAACATCCTTTTCTTTCCTAAATAAATACATGGCAACAATATATACACTAGACGCAATAAGAACACTATATTTGTTCTTCACACAATACTTCTTCAGTAGTGGGAATTTAAGCCACACCTACTGGCGCAAGATACATGTTCACCACTTCACCACTACGCCATTCGGATCGTAGAAAGACTGCAACTATTTCCCGTTTCCAAAGTAGATATAAACGCGTTGAGATTTTCATCAGTATGAAGCTATGCCATTTAGGCTCATTATTTGAAATCCGCGTCGATAAACTTTTCGTCCACTTTCTACAAATCCGAATATTCCCCCCCAGGAGCACCTATACCAGAACACCCTCAAGGAGTTGGAGCGTCTCCAGCGGTCGCACGACACCCTGGCCGAGAGAGTCGGCGCCCCCGACCCAGTAGAACACTCTGGAACCGCGCGCTCCCTCCACGCCGAGATGGAAACGGAATCCGACGACGAGGACGACGGTTGGCTGAGGAGTGAGGCCGTCCAGGTCTTCAAGCAGCTCAGGGCGCTCGCGCTCCAGCTCAACACCGGCCACGACGATGACTCCGGTAAGTACAAGTCGAAGTGACGAGTTCTGCATCCATCTAAATTTGTTTGAAACATAACTCTACTATTGCTTGAAAATCAAAAAAATCTATGTAGATAGACGTCGGCGTAAAAATCAGCCATTAAGCTTAGTGGTTAAAGCGTCTGGGCGCGAATCCCGAAGATTCCATTCCTACAGTGACGAAAAATTTTTCGTACTTTTTCTACACATTTTAATCGTTCATCCTAAGTACAGAGCACTGTAAAAATTTAAATTTGTTTGAAACTCTTCTTAAGGCAATATTAGGCGGCTCTGATAAGTTGCAATTGAAGTAACACTTTGATATCGATTTGGATTTGCTTGAAAGTTATATAACGGCAAAATTAGATTTCCGCAGTGTCACCCACAGATAGGTAATTGTTTCCGATCTGAGTGTTTGCCCACGTGAAATTTATGTATTATTTATTATGTATTATTTATTATTACCTTACAAAGCAGGGTAGTGTTATCCCCAGTAAGTGGGCAATGTTTTCGAAAGGAAGACTACAATAGAATGTATTTTGTGTGGAAAGGATTGGGTATTACAACCCCTTCCATACAAAACGCAACATATTGCAGTATTCCCCGTGAAATATAACATCGATCTAGATCTGTTTGAAACTTCATACAGCGAAATTAGACGACATAAAATATATTTTTTAAATATTTTTAGGACACATTTGTACACAACATTTTCTAGTCCCAAACTAAGCAAAGCTTGTACTATGGGTACTAGAAAACTGATAAACATACTTAAACATACTTTTCTTTTGTAAATAAATACATATTATACATATAGAAACACCCAGACACTAGAAAAACACCATGTTCATCACACAATATTTTTCCAGTAGTGGGGATCAAAGCCACACTCTCTGGCGCAGGAGGCAGGTACACTACCCACTACGACATTCAGGCAACTATAACGAAACTGACGCCTCTGTTTAATCTAGGCTCGTGTTAAGACAGCTTTTAAAATTAAAATGTTTAGATACACTAATGGGTTGAAATTTGACCATAATTAATTATAGATGGCCAGAGTGTGTATTTTTTTTTATTGATATAATCTATGTTTATGCAAAATTAAAAAAATATTAGCATTCTGTTCTTCTTCCCTATATAAACTGTTAGTGTGGGAAATTTCACACTCCTCTGACCGCGCAATTTTCGTAAAAAGGGGTGCAAAGTTTTGCTTCACGTATTAATTTATAAAGTACCCGGAGGACCGAGCTTTGCTCGGTTTGTTTTTTTTTTTTTGGTAAATCGTGTATTTTGGAAATTACATTTAGATACAAATTACTGAGTAATGAAATATGCATAATATTTTTGGATCTTACCGACGTAATAATAAGAAAATATGAACTGATGTTTTTCACAAAAGAAAGAACTTTAAAAAAAAGGGAAAAAAATAACAAAATAACAAATCGACAAAAAATTAAAAATAAAGAAAGCAATGATCTGGAATCGAAAAAAAAGTAAAAAAATAAATGTGTAAATGATCGTGACGCGAACCACGGCCATCTGCTTTGGGGCCGCCCGATTACCCACCGAGCTATTATGACATTTTCTATTGCGGCGAAATTTACCATCATATTCGATTTATATTTTTCATTCCCTGAAAACAGGGATAAAAGGACATTTTCTAAAAATGAAACCTAGCTAGATCGATTTTTCGCCCCCGAATCTACGCACATACTAAATTTCATGAAAATCGCTGGAGCCGTTTCCGATATTCCGATTATGTATATATATATATATATATATATATATATACAAGAATTGCTCGTTTAAAGGATTAAAGGCTAAGATTACGTGCATTTTCACGGCACTTTAGACCAAATTTTGACAGTGCCGATGTTGCTATGTATAGTAGTATAGTAGGAAATGGATACGTAAACGATGTGTAAACTGCACCTTCAATATTCGATTAGGCTTACACATAATTGTCTGCCAGTACCGATGCAGTCGACCGGTCATGTCGGAGCCAATTAAAAACAAACTGACGAGAACCGGTAGAAAGGAGATTGCAAGTGTTTTTTTTTTTAAATCGCTTCAGCCCGTTTAAAATGTATTGTTTATGAACGAAGTAAAGTTTGAAAACCCTTCGTGGAGACGTTGTTTATGGACTGAAAATTTGTTCTTGTGTTTTTTTTACTTACAAACTATCGAGACTCTATCGGTGCAGGGGTCGCTACCATGTCTAAGGCTCATCCATGCCTACTCAAGTTTGGATCACATGTTCGAACCCTGATGGATTTTTGTCAATGCATAGATTCTTTTAATGTGTATTAATTCTACATACTTCGTGTACATACATATTTCGGAGTGTGCACAAAAAAAATACATATTTAAGCATGTTTATCAATTACCTATACAAGCTTTGATTACTGTGAGGCTTTAGTTATCATTAATATTGTATTTTAAACACCTAGATCATAATAATTTCTTGTATTTACGCGATTACACATTACTAAACGAAACTATGTTTACGGATTTATCGCGATAATTTTTTGTTTTTAATTACCGACGTTTCGAACCCTTTACATTGTTCATGGTCACGGAACACTAAGATCATGTTAATTTCTTAGTAGAGTTGACACTATGTGGCCGGAAAAAAAACTTGCCAATACCATTACATTACTAGAATTAAGGCAGGAAGAAGAAGAATGTATAGACATATATAAGAGTTCTAACGTTTTTACCTTGATCCTAATATTAAAATATGTAGAAAAAGTGCGAAAAGATTGTCGCCGCTGTGGGAATCGAACCCACGTCTTCGGCATTCGCGGCCTGACGCTCTAGCCACTGAGCTAAACGGCTGATTACCACACCGACGAAAATCTTAACGCATTCTTCCACATTGTTTTATTAGCATTTGAAGCAATGCTTGGCGCCATCTATTGTTATATCCTTTCCAGCATACAAACAACTTCGAATATCGTTTTACAACGATAATTCGAACGAGAGATGTCGCCATTGCTTTTTTAGAAATTTAAATTGTTTATAGTGCTAATCTTTGCACTTAAGATTGAACATTAAAATATGTAGAAAAAGTGCGAAAAGATTGTCGCCGCTGTGGGAATCGAACCCACGTCTTCGGCATTCGCGGCCTGACGCTCTAGCCACTGAGCTAAACGGCTGATTACCACACCGACGAAAATCTTAACGCATTCTTCCACATTGTTTTATTAGCATTTGAAGCAATGCTTGGCGCCATCTATTGTTATATCCTTTCCAGCATACAAACAACTTCGAATATCGTTTTACAACGATAATTCGAACGAGAGATGTCGCCATTGCTTTTTTAGAAATTTAAATTGTTTATAGTGCTAATCTTTGCACTTAAGATTGAACATTAAAATATGTAGAAAAAATATGTAGAAAAAGTGCGAAAAGATTGTCGCCGCTGTGGGAATCGAACCCACGTCTTCGGCATTTTTCTACATATTTTAATGTTCAATCTTAAGTGCAAAGATTAGCACTATAAACAATTTAAATTTTTGATCCTAATATTTTAACTATTACCGAACTTGAATATTAACAACTATTGTAACGACAAGCAGCACTAGTGGTTATATCACCGTCTGGGAACGCAGCCGAAATCCAAGTGACCACTGCTCCATGCGACCATGTGTCCCTTGGCTCGAGTAGATAACGTCATATTCGGTATACAGTGTTGCCAGCGCCAACACGTATGAGAAACAATTTGCACGCGCCACGTATCGTCTTGTTCACCGCCGACCGCTCTACGTACATTGTCCGCCGAGCATTGTTTTTTCTAGAACACCTGTCCAAATCCACATTAAATGAAATCGATACGAGTCTATTGCGTCACTCGGCGTTACCGTTCAGAGTGGGACGGGGCGCGCGTACGATCACGGGTGGGAGAGGGACGATAAAACAATTAAATTTTCGTCCGACGAAACACGCACGCCTCGGCCGAAACAGTGAAGCGTGAAGAAAACGAAAGCCAACGCGGCGGGCATTGAAATGACTCGCCTGTCGATCTTTCACGGTGGACGCAGAGACGCCAATTAGTGTTCATCGTTAATCTAACTGTAGGGCCACGCAGCAGTCTTCGCTGTTGCGAATGGGCAGGTCCGTCCGGGTGAGTACCACGGCCTGGTGTGGTCACGGCCACGGTACCAGACGACCTGCGTGAGTGAAGTGTTACACTTCTGCATTTCGTCTGGTGAGAGAGGTAGCCGCGGCGCTGAAACTCGACGAATGTTGCACATACCAATGGGCGGCGGTTATCACTTAACATCAGGTGAACCGCCAGCTCGCATAAAAATTGTCGAACCTTTAATTTCCTCACATCGATGTGTCGAGTGGAGTCATGTTGATAACTTTTATCCTCTAATCGTTAGTCTGCGTAAAGTCTTAGTTATATATTGATAGAATTCACTTTGGATTACATCGCGATAATTATTTAATTTAATTACCCGTAATGACCGCTAGGGGATCGTAAAGAAGTTTTATTTATTTATTTATTTATAAAGATACTAAAAAAACTTATTCAGAAGGTACAATAAAAGGTTTGAAGTACACATTATAACACGAACAAATGAACACATCAATAACAGGCGTAACATCTATTGTTTTGTTGAACAATTAATAACAAAATTATAAAAAATATACACATCGATAAAAAGAATAGAGCGTTACAACCAAAAAGCCTTCATATTTACTTTATTTGAAGCTTTAACACGATTTCCGTTTTCAAGTTTTTTAAATGTATAACTTAAATAAGTAATATACGTATATAAGTTATAATTTTATTTGACGGTGGTAGGGCCACGCAGCAGCCTCGGCTGTTGCACGAATGGGCAAGATCGTCCGGGTAAGTACCACGACCTCACAGAAGACCGGCGTTAAGTGGAAGTATCTATAATACTTTCGCGTTTCGTCTGGTGAGTGAGGTGGCCGGGGCCCAATTTTCAAAAGGTTGTCAACGCATATGGAACCCTCGGGTGTTGCAAA